ATCTCAAGGTGGCAAGTTCTAACAGCACAGGAAATGATCCTAACAACTGGCAAATGGGGTTGAAATGGAAAAGGCTTAATTCATGAAATGAAGAGGCTTCTGCACAGACAACAGCCTCAGTGAAGAGACAGAATGGGAGAAAATTTATCTGTTCATCATATAGAGTATTAATATCCAGGATAAATACATAATTGTAAAAATTAAACACTAACTAGGTTGAACTCTAGAGGGGAGATAGGTTGATCTCTGTATAAGTTCCAAGCTAGCCAGGACTGCATAGTGAGATGCTATGTCAACAACAACACACACACACACACACACACACACACACACACACACACCAAAATAAAACATCCTCCAAATCAATAAGCAATCTAATGAACTGAACACATTTCTCAAAAAAAAAAAAAAATGCCCAGTAAATACTTGACTAGCCATCAGGGAAATGCCAATCTGAACTGTTTGGAGACTCTCTGTCACCCTCGATGAAATGGCCATGGTCAAGAAAACAAATGGCAGCAAATGCTGGCAAGGCCGTGGGGAGAGAGGAAGACCTACTCACTGCTCATGGGAGTGTGAAAATGGTGTGGCCGCTGTGGAAGCCAGCATGTTGGCTCTTCACAAAACAAAAAACAGAAACTGGATCTATCACGTGCCCCGGCTGTACCACTCCTGAGTACAGACCTAAACGCTATGTCGGTGCAGCACAGAGAAACATGCAGAAGTCCGCTTGTGTAGCTGCAACGCTCACAGCAGCCAGGAAATGGAACCAGCCACGATGAGGCCACAGAACAATGACACTTGTATGTGAAGATGCCGTGGTGAAACTTACTGTCCTGCACTCCAACCTAGAATTTAGTAAAACGTAGTTTTTGACATGTCTGGGGTGGGAGGGCGAGGGCTTGGAAGCTAGAGGACTGATGAAGCCCAAAGGGTAAAGAGCACAATTTTAGAGCTGAAGTTAAAGATGAAGAAGTTGTGCCCAAGGGAAGCCATAAATGGAAGGAAGCCTTTGGGGTTTGCTGGGTGTGAAGTGGGAATCTGTCCGAGGTTGGATCGGAGACAGCTATGGTCTGACTCAGACCTTCACAGGATCACGCTGACTGATGTGTGGGGAAAGGCCAGCAGAGGGCTAAGTGTGGGCTCAGTGAGTCAGCTCGGATGCTCGTGGTGGCTCATTTTATGATTCCACACAGCGAGGCTGCAGAGCCCGTTGTTGAGTCGAGCACCAGTCTAGATGTTTTTAGATGTGGTTGATGCCGGTATTCCATAAAGCCTTGAGCCGGGCTCATTGCCCTCCATACTGGGTTGCCGGGTGGGGAGCTGCAGTCAGTTGAAGATCTCAAGAGCAAAGATTAAGGCTTTCAGAGGAGGTGAGCCTGGGGACTGAACACAGGGCCTCCACCCGCCTGTCCCAATGCTGCCCTGCCCTGAGAGTCCAGACTGCTTCTCCGGTGGGCTTCTTGGAGAACGGCTGTCAGTCACTAGGAGAGACAACCACAAGATGGAAACAGATCTGGGGTCTTCTTCCAGAATCCACACACATGCAGGTGGGGCAGAGCTTGGAGAGACAGATGGATGAATAGACAGACAGTCAGAAGGAGACAGAGAGAGAACCCCTCTTTAAATGGTGGGTCTCAGGCAAGTACTGCAGGGCTCAGTGGCGCAAACCTGTAGTCCCAGAACTCAGGAGTCAGAAGCATAAGGAATTCTATGAGTTCTGGGCCAGCCTGGTCTACACAGCAGTGAAACTCAGTCCAAAATAAAACAAAAGCCATAAAACACAAAAGCAGACCCAGGCTCCAGTCCCAGAAGGTGACATTGACTGAGATGTGGTTGCAGTGACGTCTGTGGTGTGAGGGTCAGCCGAGCCAGCCAGGCTATATTTAACTATGCCGTAGGGGTCACCAGGGAACAGTTATCTAAGGTAGGCATGTGGATCGATCACATTGAGGAACTGGGCAGAAGAGAGTAAAATTAGAAACTGTCACACCCCAGTGTGAAAACATCCAGGTTGCATTTAAAATAGACGCGAGGGCAACATAAAATGATAAGAATTCACTACCGCCTTCCACAACAGCTCCTAGCTGAATTGTCAGCCAGCCAACCTATCCTATGGATTTCAGACCCATCAGTCCTGCTAGCCACATGAGCCTGTAAATCTAGATAGAAAACAGATGGATTGATGATTGATTGACAGACAGAGAGAGGAGCAGGTCCTGTGGATACTGTTTCCCAGGAGACCTCTGCCTAACACTGCTGTTACAATAATTCAGGAAGCCAAGGATGATAGCTTGGACCTTGGGAAGGAGGTGAGGCCTGATTGGTTGAAAGCTAAGAATGTTCTGACGGTCAATACAACTGAATGCGTTTAATTTGGTGAATGAAAAATAGGTGTCAAGAGTAACTCCTTCAGTTTTGACCTGGCCACCTGGGCAAAGGGTAAAATCATCAACAGTGATGGGAGAGGCTGAGAAGGTGGGTAGGTTGATGGGAGGGGGGAGGTCAGGCTAGGCAGTCCTCGGGACTGAGGGCATGAAGTTCCTTGAAGCTGCATGACACTTACCAAAGTAGGTGGTTGTAGGAAGAGGATGGAGGCCGAAGGACCAGTCCTGTTGCCTCTGGGCGAGCTCTAACTTTAGGGAATAGCAAAGAGGGGACAACTAGCCAAGGAAACTGAAAAGATGTGGCCGGTGAGATATCAGAAAACCCGGGAAGCCCATATGCCCAGAGCCAAGTGGACAAAGGGCTCTGAGAGGTGCCATAAAGGTAGACACCAAGCAAGGACTCAGTGTGGGGAGAGAGGCAGCTAAACTTACAGGAGCACACCGTCTCCCATCCTCATATGTGTGAGCTCCCACAGGCTTCGATGGCGGTGGCTTCCCGTGCCCATAAAGGAGGAAGGGCCCAAATGACACCAGGTGATATGAATGAGCTGTTCCAGGTGGCAGTGAGGATTTGCACCTGTGGCCAAGTTGGCCTCAAAGGATGGTGGGTCATTCATGAAGAGCTTAGGAGACAGGCTTGGAAAGTTTGAGTCTTGTCAGGCAGAAGAGGAAGTCATGACTCATTCCCTGGGAACCATGGCCCTAGCTGGAAGAGCCAGCAGCTGGAGAAAGGAAGGTAACCCCCATCACGGGACCTTTCATCTCTGAAGGCTGTGCTCCTGTCCCTGGAAGCGGTGGCCAGGAGGCTGAGCTTGTCGCATAGAAAGAGTGGGAGAATGGCAATCAAACAGGCTCGTGACAATTTCAAACACTGGGGACCAGCCATTTCTCTACACACCGGAAGCTGAAACCTCAGAGGTTGTACCATGTATCTGAGGTGACAGAACTGAGCAACCCAGCACTCTGCATAGAATGGCGCTGAGTCCAGCCTGAAAAAGCTGGGGGTCAAAGCTATTACCACCTCCAAGTCAGAGACAGGGTTTGTCTGGGAGGACGAGGAAGTATTCCCTGCTGCAGGCGTCCCTGGGCATGTGCTGCTGAAATGATCTATTTGGGGACAGGGACCGTCCCACGGGCTGTTAGCTTTCCCGAGCACTGTCAGGGGATTAATTGTATTCTTGACTTCAGCGTACAGGAAATGGAGACTGGGCGAGGGTAAGTAAGGCTGCGTGCTGGATAGCTGATGGAGTCCGGGTCCAAGGCCAGGCCTCCCTGCCTCCAAGGCTCTTGCTTCTTTTTCTGTAGCAACAGAGGCTGAGCCCAGGCAGGTGATACCATCTGGTCCCTCCTCCCCAAGGCAGCACGGGCAGGTGCCTCGTCAAGCCTCGCGTTGGTCGTAATCAAGCAGGTGAGCTCTGTTATCTAACAGTTGTTAGCATCTTGCAGAGAGGAGAATGTGAGACTCCAGAGACTCCAAAGAATAAAGGCCGAAGTCTGGATTCAAAGCGGAGACGTAAGAAACTCCAAAGTTCACTTGAGCCTTTTTATCTATTTCGGTGTGAGATAAGGGCGAAGTCTAGGTGTTCTCGCAAGATGAAGTGTACTGCACATGCATGAGCCAGACTGGCCTGGTGGAGCACATCATAGCATTCATCTAACTGCCAAATCTGAGGGGACTGTGGGCGCTCAGGGAAGCCTATGCTGAGACACCGGTCAGTCTGTACCGGGCCCAGCTGAGCCCTGGCAGGACCAGGGCTGCTAGGTCTGGCCAGGGTGACAGCACCATCAGAGACTCGGCTGTGAGATTAAGGGACCTGTTACAGATGAGTCACCCAGGAAATAAAGGTAAACTCCAAGGGGCCAGAGCCCATCATGCCCACAGCTGCCTTTGTGGTGGCTTCTGAGAGGCTTGTGTGACAGGAGAGCCCAGAAAACCTCAATCAGATTTCATGTGACACCCCCCCCACCCCAGGCTCACACAGCTGCTGCCCCAGAGCTGGCTGGCATTGAACCCTTGTCTCCTGAGATCTGAGCTCTTTCTTTTACACCATGTTGGTCTGCTGGCTGCTAAAATAGACAGTTGCTACAGGTCACACACATAACCAGGGGGACTTGGATACAAATGGGAAGTGGCAGGCAGAGGGCTGGGCAAGGACTGGTTACAAGGCTGGTCTTTCCGTGGTTCTGGGGTTGGAGCAGGATGCTGGGCATGGGCGAAGTTAATACCAGAAAAGCTTCATCTACCTGCATCTTTCACTCAAAGAACTATGGGTTGGCCTGGGCTAAAGACATGCCGGTGCAGTCATTAGGGCCTGGAGCGAATCCCTTCACCGGGCGTCTCTTTTGATGCCTCAGCTCCCTCTCATCCCAGGTGTGGAGGAGTGAATGGAAAGGGAACTGTTCCAAGGTCTTTCCACAGAGCCCTGTCTGTGCCAGGGCCTTGGGAGACCACGTTCCCACGTGCTCTGGATATTCCATCATCATCACCCCTACCCCCTTCCCTGAGAACCAACTCTGAATTTGTCAAAGAGCCAAGCCTCTGTCAACCCCACCCCAGCCAGACAGTTAATAAGTGACCAGAGCTCTGGACCCTGGCCTATAAGGGGCTGCTGGCCAGGAGGCAGGTGGCAGCTGGGTGGACAGCAGAGGAAGCAGGAGCCCAGGGGTGTGAGATGGGAAGCGGGGCCATGTCAGGAAGCCAACTTCGGGCTGCCGTGGTCCTGCTGCTGCTGCTGCAGGGTGCACAGTGTGTCTACATCAAGGTGAGACCCTGGTGAGCCTACCTTCTGCCTGAAGGACCTGGGCTCAGCCCGGCAGCCGGTCTATACCGAGACACCTGCTGGGTGGAGGCTACAGGAGTGTCAACAGTGGGAGACAACCTGTTTGTTCTGCTCTGGTCTCCTTTGAGGTCAGCATAGTCACGATGTGGAAGGAGAGGAGAGTCAGGCCTAGACGGGCATAACGGGAACGGGGCCCCTCTTGTGTGCCCTCCCCTGTGGGCACCTTCACGGGCAAGTAACAGAATGGTCTCCTGGCAGGGAACCTTTGTGCTCACTGAAGGACAAATGGTGTCAGGCCCAGGTGAGTATGTTCTAGGCAGAGCAAAGGCCAGAAACAGGGAACATGGACTTCAGATGTCCTTTCAGGGACTATTAGATGGGTGGGGCATGGAATCGGGCCTGGCCATGGTGTGGCAGGATGCTTCTGGTCTTGCTAAACCTGTGTGACCATAGTTTGGCATCTGTACCTGGCAGGGTTTCCAGGGGAAGAATAAAAGGGTCTAGGCAGGCTTGAGAGAATCAATCTCAGCAGAGAGATTCACCAGGCCAGTGCGGGGAGGGGATCTGTCATCTGGCCTGCCTGGTGCCAGGCTTCCACAGGGGAGGAACAGGTGGGGAACAGATGGACAGTTGGATGAAGGGCATGGGGAAGAGACAGACAGCTGGTTGGAGGCAGAGATAGGATTTGAGCAAACAAGGGTCTCCCTATGTCTAATGCCCAGCGCTGACCTACAGTGCTCCACAGCCTGTGCGGACAGCCTGTGACAGAAGGCTGCTTCTGATATGTTGGTGGCAGATCACGAGGTAGCACCCTGATTTCCTCCTCACAAGCTGCTTCGGGCAGTGTGGCTTGGACTCTGTGAGCACAGAGGATGTTCCGGAGGACCCATGGGACCTTACTGAGTCCGGTCTCATGGCTCTGCCTGTTCCTAGCCAGGGCCTGGTCACTCCTCTCCCTTCCTCCCCCAGTACCATGGCTTCCAAGTGCGTCTGGAATCGGTGAAAGAGCTGACTGAGCTGGAGAAGCAGCAGATGTCCAATCTCCTGACGCCCACCGATAGCCACCTGCCTGGAGTGTGCCATAACCCAGCCTTGCCCCCAGACCTCCAACCTGTCTGCGCCTCTCAGGAGGCCGCCAGCATCTTCAAGGCCTTGAGTAAGGGTCCTGCCCCTCCGGTCTTCCTGCCCCTCCCTCCACATCCTCTCCCCGCCTCTCCCTCATCAGCTGTTTCTGTCAAGCAACCCAGGGGCTGAGGACAGGAAGCGTGGGGGGTCCCAGCCCCTGTTCTCCCCAGATCTGCTCCACTTTGGGCACACTGAGGCAGGTGGAAAGGAACTCCGTAGCCCTGGGAAGTTCTTCCCAGGTAGAAGGAGGGACTCTGGGAAGAGACAGACATGATTCCACGAGGCACGGGGCATCTGACACACCTGAGGAGGTCAGGCTTGGAAAAGCACCCCGGAGGGGGGGGGTGTTAGCCAAGCTGAAACCAGAAGGCTGCAGAAGAGCTGGGCATGTGCTGTTGCCGCCAGCAAGCATGTGTGTGCCTGCTCTGGGCAGGTCCTGATTTGTCCCTTTTGCCCAGAATCCTTCCTACAGCTTTCAGGTCAGTTTGAGCAGCCCATGTGGGTGATGAGGAACCTCAGACCAGGAGGGGAAGTCCCTTGCCCAGCCTCTTCTAGGAAGGGCAGCACCTGAGAGAGGAATCTAGGTCCTGGCCCCCTCAACTCTGAGTCCAGAGCGGTAGCTTCTATAAGGAAGGCGCCAGGCTCTCTCCCCAGCAGCTCCTCCTGGATGACAGCATCTGTGACCATGGATCCCCAAGCTCCAATTTCACCTAACCTGCTTTCTCCCTGCACAGAGACCATCGCCATGGACGAATGTGAGCTGTGTATAAACATCGCCTGTACGGGCTGCGGCTGAAATGACTCCGTGTGTCTCAAGCCCACCCCAAGGCCAACCCATCCATACTCAGGCCACCATTGAAGTAATCACCACTCCCCCCCCCAGCACAGCTGGATCCATGACAAAGCAATGGGACACAGGGTTGGCACATCTGTCCCCCGGGCAGCTGCACCTGAATAAAGATGCTACCCACAAACCCAAGTGTCCTTGAGTGTTCATTTCTGAGCTGTGGCTGTGGCATCTTGAGACACTGGATGGGAGGAAAAGACAGGCCAAACTGAAAGTAGGAATTCCCCACCCACGTTCTCAAGCCAAAGGAACTGACTCATGGTACCCGTGTGTCAGGTGACAGAGCCCACAGACTCCCAGGACCTCCTCCCTGGCACTTCCAGGCTCTCCATCTCCAGGGCCAGGGCTCTTGACAGAATAGTTGGAGAAAGGCAAGGGTTTTTTTTGGGATTGGCTGCTGTCAACCGGTCTCCTCCCCAAGTCCAGTGTCAGCCAGGAGACTCTGCTCTCCACACCCAGGGGCACGCTGCCCTTTCCTGAACGTCCAGTGTGGTCTAGGTCCATGCAGCTCCCTAAACGCCTGACGAGATAACACGGACTCCTCGTCAGTCTAAAAAAGTGAGTGCTGCTGTGAAGGCCAGTTCCTGTGTTTGAAACGACTGTCCCTCCAGTCATGGAGGGTCACAGACTCAACAGGCAGCTTCTTCCCAGGGTGCTACAGTCATGCTCGGGGCACCCTGTCATTGCCTCTACGTATCCTTGGCTATGGATGATGATGCCAAAGGCAAGGCCCAGTGTGGGCCTCATCCATCTCCCCTGCATGGCAGGAAGACAGCCCCCAGGGAAGGTCAATGGGAAATACACCCTCCCCGAAGAGTACCTACAGGACACACGGCTTGTGACTGGTGCTCTGCTGTGGCCTGAGCCATGGAAGGTGGGGCCCACGGAGCTGAGGCCTTCACCCCAGTCAGGAGGCGAGCTGGGAATTCTGGGTATGGGGTTTCCCACAGGGCAGGTTTACAACCTGAGCCTTTGACCTGAGCATCTGGGAGGGAGGAAGGCTGGCTTCAAAGGGCCAGCTGAGTCCACAGATAGCTGCCAGACCCCACTGCCCCACTCTGCTCCTCCTTCTCTCTCCCTGGCTGGTGCCTCAAGTCTCTGCGGTGGAACAGTGTAGCTCTGACTGTGTCTCTTAACGGGCTGAGTGCCTCCATGCCGCCTCTCCTGATGCTGAGCCCAAACATCATCTGTATGCATTTACCATTTACCCTTTTCAGGGGTTGCACGAATGCACACACACACACACACACACACACACACACACACACACACACACAC